CTTTACTTTTAGATATATTTATATATGCTCTTCAAGCCTTCTCCAGGATGCTTTTTCACCCTCAAGTGTGCTCAACCCCTTTCATTCTTCTCTGTAAATCCATGGCCCTTTGTACCTACTGTCTTTAAAACAATCTCTCCTACCATCTTTAATTCTATAAACTGGACTCCTTGAGGGCAGAGACAGTAATATTCAGTTTAAAACCCAACAAGGAGTGGTTACCAGATGTTTGCTAGAAATTTTACAGAAAGAGGTTGTACCTCTCCAGACTACAGGAATAGGCAGACTTGGGAGAGGAATCTGGCTCAGCTTGGTTTTGGGGAGAATTGCTACCTGTAGAGTATTTGTGAATATTTGAAATAGCTAAAACATTTGTTGGGTTATAACTAGAAGGGAAGAAGGAAGGCCCAGGACCAGTTCTTACTGGTTAAACAGACACTCCAGCACAGAAGGCTATGTAAATGACAAAAGACTTTCCTAGCACAGATTTTGGCAGTGAAGGATAAATATCTGTATCTATCAGTATACTATGGAAAGCAGAGAGAATGGAAAGAATTGATTGGGAGAGAGAATTCCAGAAGGTGATAATAATTGGATACTCACTTTTTCAGTACTAACTGGTACCCTGCAAATTCTAATCACCCCTTACTCTATTAATAGCATTTCTTTTGTTTACATCTACCTTCCCCACCTGATGATGTTAACAGTTGATCTCATTTTGCTAAAATTTATTTGCAGCATTTGGACTGGGAATTTTATCATTCCAAGTCCCAGTCATCTTTCCCTAGGTTAGCTCTGTTTACCTAGCCAGCCATGTTTGCTGTGTCAGAATGAACTTGGTTACTCCACCCTGCCTCTGTTGATTGAGTGTGAGGTGGATTCTAAGAGCTGAGTTTGTATAGAGGCTGTGCAGTACCACTGGACATATTCTTCTGTCTTCAGAAACTATTTGCCCTTTACATGTACTTTGTTTTGCACTCTCCTTTCCTGCAAAGGCCTCCCTCCATTCTTCTCTTTTGCTTTCTTTTTCACCTTTGCCAAGTACCTACTCTGGTCAGACCCTTTGCTAAGTATGGGACTACAGAGGTAAATAATTCTGTGCTCTGCCCCTGAGGAACTCACTGACTACCACAAAGTGACAAACATGAAAGTTGAAAAACATTAAATGCATTCCCTGAGATAGCAGAGAAATAGTCCATGCTCATCTGTCTGTCCAAAGAATGGATTGATCTGGGAATCCTTGGTTTTGGGGAGAATTGCTACCTGTAGAGTATTTGTGAATATTTGAGGAATGGGGAACTCTGTGAAATGTGGTAGGCTAGAAAGATAGGAAGATGGTAGGAATTGAAGGATTGGAATAGAATTATGATGGGAAGAAGTACATAATTGTAAGATGTAACTACTATCTTTTTTTTTTTTTAGAGAGAAAGAGAGAGAGAGAATTTTTTAATATTTATTTTTTAGTTTTCGGTGGACACAACATCTTTGTTTGTATGTGGTGCTGAGGATCAAACCCGGGCCACACGCATGCCAAGCGAGCGCACTACCACTTGAGCCACATCCCCAGCCCTGTAACTAGTATCTTGATTTGCCTATTTTCTATTTCTAAACAAATATTTATAGATTCCGTTGGTAGTGTAGTGTTCAGCTCAGGGCTTCACTGAAGGGACCTGACAGTTTCTACATCTGTTTCATCTTCATCACATTCAATACCCACATTCTTAATTACATCCTGGATGTGTCCATCTGAATGTTTCCCTCACCCTTCAAAACATTTTGATTTATACCTAAGCATTCTCTTAAGTAATTTTGTAGTAACACTGTACAGTTGAGGAAGATGAGGTCCAGATAGGAGAAGTGAAGTTCATAACAAATTGAGGCAGTCTAGCATAGAACCCAGACTTCCTAATAGTGCAGGATACATGCTATGATGGTGTAATAATTTCTCTATGTGAGGCTTTATGTTCAACTTTAAAAGCTTGGCCATTTGACCTTTAGATCTTCACTGGTCTGATGGCAATATTACAATCATCTCCCAGGACGTGCTTATGTGAAAACACAGGCATTGAGCTTATAGATTTAAGTTAGATCAGGGCAATTTAAACATCTCCATAATGAGAGATGTTTGCATGTAGCAAAGCAGAAACAAAATTTGTGGCATGAATGTGAAAGTTGTAGAGGAAAAGTGTGGGTCAGAGGAAAGATAGTGTGGCCAGACAAATCTAGATTTGAATACAGCTCTATCACTTTTTATGAGCTCCAGCAAGTCAGTGTCCCTTATAGAGCCTTAGTTTTCTGGTCTATAGAATATGAACACTATTGTTGTCTCTTATAGAGTAGGTGTGATAATTAGAATTTGTGAATATGAATGTTTGATACATTTTATATTTTCTCTATTTCTTTTTTTGTGTGGATTAAGAGGAGGGAGATATTTTCACACTCCAGATTTATCCATAAAGATACAATACCAAAAGGATTTGTTGAGTGCCTTCTGTATGCCAGTTGATGTTGTGCTGGGCATTGGCATATAGGCAAGTAAGGATCATTAGAAACCATGGAGAGTAAATCAACCAGATTATACTCAGTTTCTTTCCACCAAGCTTGGCAGCTTATAGGCTGGGACTTTAGCTGCGCATTTGACAATGTAGAAAGGTGGATAGATAGAGTGGATGTTTGCACATTTATGTGGAGTCAAAACTGGTTGAAGGAATCCAGAGGGTACTAAAAGGTGGAACAGTATTACCTTAGAAACAGGGGCAGAGAGAAGGTAACTGTGAGATTCTGTCATTAGTCCTAGTCACTCATTGTTTTTATTTATGACTTGGATGAGAATATGAAGCTGATCAAAATGATAGAATCTGTTTCTAGAACAATCTGGACATGGTAGAATAAAGGTCTGAATGAATCTGCATGCCCACCTTAAGAACTTTGAAGTTTGAAAGTAATAAGAGGACAGACAAAAATGTTTATTTCATAGGGTATTGTCTGAATGAAGGTACCTTGGTCTTTTGTTAAGAATGTAAAAGGGCAGTGGCGGGAGGCGGGGGGCGGGCTGGGATTGTGGCTCAGTGGTAGAACGATTGTTTGGCATGTGTGAGGCCCTGGGTTTGATCCTCAGCACCACATAAAAATAAAATAAAGATATTATGTCCAACTACAACTAAAAAATAAATATTTAAAAAAAGAATGTAAAAGGGGATGTTGGCATTAAGAAACCCCATTAAACCAAGATTAGAAATCCTTAGCAAGGAGGGGAAATGAAGAATACCCCAGGCTCTAGTAGAGACTGTAGCAGAGACAAATGTGTTCAGAAAGAAAAGAAAGTGACTATGCTACAGAAATTTTTCCCTGTTGGGAGTTGAAGGACAAGAGACTAAGGACATGA